AAAACAAAAAAAAAAAAAAAGAGGACTATAAGAAAAATAATAAAATAAAAATCAAAAACGATTTCTAAGCCTCAGATCGATTCACCGCGGATGATGATGGATCAATGCACAGGCCCTACTCAAATTCAAGATCCATGCAGGAGTGAACAATCAGAAGGACTCCATCTGGATCAGTAAAGCACCGGAAATGGGTCCCAAGAAAAAAGGATGTGTGGTGCTTTGTTACCCGGTGACTGATCCAAATTGACAGAGAAATTAATTGTCCGATCGATGGAAAAAGAAAAGCACCGAAAGAGACAGGTTGGGATCATCCACTGATCTTACTAGATTCCTCCACTGGAGAGCTGAAGCTCCAATGATATCACAAACGAATGGATCGCATTTTGGCTATCTCCTTATGATGACAACGAGGCATCGACTGCTGAAGCGAGGTCTCCTAGGCCGTCACATATCAGATCCAGCCCGTGTCCTTCTGTGATTTGTTTGCCAATGAGTGTCGTTCGTAGTAGCGGTGGGATCGGACAGCTTCCGTTACCCCAATCAATTTAAAATTTGCATGTCGACCGAGAGAGGTACAGAGCCAGAGCTTCCCTCCTGCCTGTCAGGTGTCAGTGGCTCCACCTGCACGGGCAATCAGAAAAAATAAGAAAAAAAAAAAAACAAAAAACAAAAAAGCATCGTTCGTTTAGGTCCATACGTACTTTGGTTCCCGTCCGGCGCCCACTGCATTTTCCTCTCTTTGGCCTCGCGAATCACGGGATCTTTCCCAAATGAGTCAATTTGGCCTTGAACCCTAAGCTGGACGGGGATCTCTCCACGAGAACGAGAACAAGAACACGACCAAAAGCATCGCTACCGCCATTCAATCCCGGTTTATTCTCTCATAATTTTAATTAGTTTACTTGGTTAGCAGGATCGGTTTCTCCCTTAATCCCGCATCGCAACACCCAACAGACCGGTTCTCCCCTCCAACAAGGCAACCTATTACACACGGCTCGACCCATCGTGGGGCCAGAACTGAGGTAAGTCCAGCAATGTACTGCAGTACTCCGGATATTCTCTCTGATCTCACTGGAAGCTGAGCACAAACCCATTCCACACGCACGAAAATCCCCGTGCGAACAAAAAAGCAATGACTTCATCTGACCCGTGGAACTCCACTTAGGTACCAGCTCTGCGACCAAGACGGCTAAAACGGCTCCGACGGAGACGCACACTCCAATTAACCGTTTTGCTCATTGTTCGCCTTAACTTAAGACTCGCTCACTAAGACCAACTATAAACTTGGGTCGACCCGGAGTGCCAAACTATTGAACACCGCTTCCCTTTGTCCTCCCGCCGTTACGCTCACTAAACTCAGCGCGGTCCGCGGTTAAGGGGCGGGCGGGCGGCGGTTGTGAAAAGAATGGGGGGGTTGTAGCTGATCGTTAGGTTGGTCTGATCCGGGGGACTTTTCCCCAGGGCTTTTCTTTTGACCTCGTATTCTGTCAACCGGGATCCAATCGTAGTCTCGACCCCCATTGGCACTTGACAGGGTCATCCACGGTGGACAATTCATCAACCGGGGCCTTAAAGTAACTTTTGTGTGCGTGCCTTTTTCAACCGGCTATTTTCGTCCCTGGAGATTAAAATTGACCGGTTACCGGATTTGGACCTCTCCCAGGATCGTTGAACGCGTTAAATCGTTGCGTTGCCAACGCGGCGCCATGGAATTGAATGGGTAATAAGGCTTCCCTTAACCACTCAGCCACCCGTTGGAGATGTCTTGGAATGTTGTCGCAGAGGTTTTCTCTGGGCGTTGTCTCGCAAGGTGTTTCTTTGCTTTTTTTCTTTTTTATAAATCATCTTGTTTAGTTCTCGGTTCTCAGTGGTCGTCCCACGGTACTTCTCCTTTTGTTCGTTGACCGAATCGATATTAATCGCGATCCCCAACTTCAATGATGGAATATCCAGACTAACCCAATCGCGTAACCTACCCGGAGTACTCCGTACTCCGCTCGCAAGAAACCATTGAAACCCTGAACATTCCGACTCCACCAGGTGAACCCTAAAACCATACAACCTACAATATACATACAATAGAATAGAATAGATTCATCCATGCCCACCACAAGCCCACACCCCAATAAATAAGAAACAGGAGACCTGCACATAAGCAGTGCCCCTACATTCCTGTCTACAGACATACAACATGCCTGCAGTGTATGCAGTACCCATAGTATAAGTTCCCAACGCCAACATTTAGCCGTTAGTATTAGAATACTAACCCAACACCACCAACAAACAACATTACGTTTGGAGATGGATCCCTACAAACAAAGACAGACCCAATCTTAGAAAAGAAACTATGTAAGAAGTTGAAACATCGCCCTACCCTACACCTTAATCTCTACCCGTCTATATATCTATGTATCTACAAAGCCTACCTGTCTTATCTGATACTGCTCCGTAGTAAGATCTATCATATTTCGCTTGAGATAAAACAAAAGTCCTACGTATGTATGTACGTATAACCATACACACCCCTACGGAATAAAAAGGATTGAAATTACTTACCTACTACTCCGTACACAGGACCATCCCCATCACCCAAAACCCCCTGAAATGGAACGAGAGATCCAGGCCATCCAGTAATAAAACCCATGGATCCAACGTACGCAAACAAAACAAAACACCTTGGCTCAGCTTAGCTCAGCTCAGCTCGTAAAGCCACCGTAATGCGATGATCTAACTATTTAATATACGTGAGTAATATGACCCCTGATCACCAATAATGGAGCCAAAATATATATAAATAGATCTTACTTGGCGAGGTCGGATCGGGCCTTGGGGTTATCTCTGGAACTGGCCAGAGCTTTAGGAAGGGAGCACGTGGTGGGTTGCTGTAAGGGGTTGACCAACTTTGATCTTCCTTTTTTTTTCTTTTTTCTATCTTTCTATTTGGGTTGGGCTTTCTTTGGTGCGGGTTTGGTTTTCTATGTGGATTATATGGGCTTTCTGGGTATAGTTGGATCTGGAGTTGCTTGGATAGTCGGGTTGAGTGATTGGTAGTGGTTATGATTTTATTATGATTTCTTTCGTACTCCTTTCCTTATATGGTGTTGAATCTTGCACGGATTTATCGATTGTTGTTACTACCTAGAAAATAAGGTCCCCCGCATATGCTTATACTATACTACCTATATGGTAACAATATCAAAGTAACACTAAGCGGCATACAACAGTATGCCAGACATGCCTCAGAACGCCAGTCAATCATTATTACCGATCTCAAACGCACGACGGCCCTCCACAAGCCCATCGCTCACTTTAGTCACGGCCGCCCACACCGGCGCAAACTGGATAGCTTCGTCCAACGCTGGAATGACCCCCGGCTGGTTATGATCGCTCCACAGACAGACGACATTGCCTTTCAGAGCACCCTCGTCCAAGTCCACATCCACCGTCCATTGGTTCTCCCAGGTGCGACTCCAGAGTCGGATCTCGTTGACGCCGGCCGCGTCATACGGAAAGCGCGGGTCATATGCAGATCCGGCAACGTGGAAGTTCTTCACTGGCGTGTCGAAAACGATCCTGCATGCCCGCGTGTTCAGACCAGACACCTCGAACCGAGCTTGCGGCTTATCGGTGGACTTGGAGATATTGAAGGACACCCAGTCTTTCATCGGGTAGTCGCCCTCCACTGGCTGTGGAGCAATTCCTTCCCAGGAGCAGGACAGCAGGTTCCTCCTCTTAGTGTGCCAGTCACAGGCTATGTCTTGGCCGGCGGCGCTGGGCAGGTCCTGAGTGACATCTTTCACGAACGGAGAAAGCCCGGCAAAGGTGGCGCGGTTGACGCCGGTATCGAGGTCGACCTCCTGTACGAAGTAAAGTTTCAACCGGCTGGAATCTGAGAAGGGGAAAGCCACGAGATTGTAGATCAGGGTACCCAGGAAGACCGCCAACAGGAACAAGGGGATGTGGTAGGTATACCGGTGGATGAAGGGTAGAAGCGGCGTGAGCAGAATCGTCGTGAATATGGCGATGGCGACGTAGGCGAAAAGCGGATAACCGCCGTCCTGTCCTGTCTGGGTGATGGCACTGATCGTCAGGAGCGCAAGGGGCCCGACCATGATAAGGGTAATCGGAGCAGTGAGAAGAAGCTGCAAGATCCACGTCCACTTGGGCAAAGCAGAACTCCAGGCTTGTTCGCGGCCATAGACGTTGGGATCGACCACCTCCTCGTCTGCCAACGCATGATTATCTCCCCCAACTCGCACATAATTTGCAAACGTAGTCCGCTGCCCACTGCCCAGCAGGGACGTTGACTCCGTTGGTTCCTCTTCCGCCTCCTCTCCATCGTCCTCGCCGGAAGTCGTACCCCGGCGGCTCCCGTGGCCACTGACCCGTCCTGAAGCTGGCCTGAGCTGGTTCGCATACTCGGTTTTGGACGGCAGGGCAAAGAGCTCCAGGTAGGAGATCCACGTGGCTAAGAAGATACCAGCATGGAAAAAGAAGATGAAATACCCACCGGCCAGACCCCTTTGGTTTGCATACACAGTTGCAATCACAGCAGAAACCCAGGAGAGAATGTACATCCAGGTGAGGGTGTAGATACGATGGAAGGCCGACGGGCGAGCAAAGTCGGCCACACGGGAAACGAACCAGGCCAAAAAGACCCAAGCAGCCGCCATCATGCTCCAGACCGCATAAGCGCTACTATGAATGATGTACGGATTGACCTTGGTAACCAAATACGCCAGGCCCACCGCGACGACGGTCGGGATTCCAAAGAGGAACGGAAAGCGGAAGAAGCCCCGAAGGCCCTGCAGGGGCACCACGTCGAAATGGTCTTCAGACTTCGCCGATGACCTGAACAGATACATCTTGTCCGCTTTTGTAAGGGCGATGCTCGTAAAGAGTAAAGTAAGGGGGCCGACGATAAGCAGTGTCACCAGCAGTGCAAACAGCGTGTGAAGCTGGAAGACCACAAAAGTGCTTCCGAACAGGTCAAACCAGACAGCCTTGGAGCCAGATCCACTGGGAACGCCCCCATCAGTGCTCGGCGAACCGTCGAAACGATCGGTCGAGTCGGATACAAGTCCCTCAGTCGTAGCAACAGCCGCCGACAGCATATGCCAGACCGAGTCCTTGCTCGTATGTCGAGTATCATCCTGATTCGTATGATACCTCGCTCTGGGCTCCATGAAGGCAACATCTAGGCCACGCAAGCCCATATTGCCTTGAAAAACCACATAGTCCGTCTGACTAGCGATCAATCCGATATCAAATCCATTAGCACTGAGCACCGATCCGAAAGGATGCGGCGACCGCATATACGGGCCCGTGACCTCGAAATCAGAGCTCCGGAACAGAGTCGCCCGTCCACCAGCTCCCGCGCCCTCCAGGTTAAGGAAAGTATGAGGTAACTTCGAGATCGGGTGTTGACTGTACACGCGCGCGCCATTCAGGAAATCTTCTTCGCCATTGTTAAACAGCACCACAAGACCTCGCCGCGGAGCATGTCCCGGCGTAGTGAAATACTTAATGAGCTGAAGGCAAGTGACAACGCCGACGCCATCGTCGGTGGCCCCGAAACCGGTCGAGACACTATCGTAGTGCGAGTTCACAAGCACGCCTCCCCTACTTATCGGCACCCCGTTCGGTGCTTCCCACCAATGTTCTGTCTCGTCTTCCCACCCACGGATATAAACGATGATATTGGTCCCTTCGAAATAGACGCCGAGGTCTGCATCCTTCAGGGTACCCCCATAAGTGGTCAGGTTCGAGTACACGTCATCGAAGACAAAGACATCCGGCTTTTCCTCGTCCAAAGCTCGGTACTCCTGGTCCGAAGGCGTGGCGTCCAGGATCTCGTTAATCCGCCTCAGTAACCAAGAGTGGATGGCATCATTTCGACGCGAATTGTATGGATGGAAGCCGTTCGTTAGGACTTGAAGATCAGCCAAGCTTCCGAAATGTTCAGACCGCTAGGCGGAGAGCTGGGAGCGGAAGGTACAACATGGTGCACGACCAGCAACGGGATCAGCAACGCCAGATAAACGATCGCGGTGATAATAGTAACAGGCCAGCGGGTGAACGCCAGTGGGTTGGCCCGCGGCAATCGGAGAGAAGCCATCAGATGTCGGCCTCTTTTCAAGGGGTCCAGCCCAGGAGCGAGTGACGACTAAGACGCGAGCTTCCAGACGCTGGCGATGTGGAGAGAGAGAATTGGAGATCGCGCATCAAGGCGGAAGTGAAAGTGGGGGGGAGCTTAAACGGAACTGAACATTTAATGCGCGGACACCAACACTTCCAATGATGTCAGCCGACTCGAGCAGTATTCCAAATTGGGTTAGCGTGATCTGTCTAAGTATAGATCGCATACCAGTACAGAGCACCCTCCTATCAATCCGGATCTCTTGCGACAGGAGAAGATTTGATGAGGAACAACTGAAATTCAAACCTTAAAGGAATCAAATACATAGCATAAACTAAGTCTTCTAATTTCTAACTAGAAATACAAACTTATTTTGGAATGCTCCAACGCCATTGATGCAATATGTAGCTACAAATAGTGCCGAGTCCTGGATGCAATACGCCTTACTTAGATAAAATCTATACATCCCCAGCAGCAACCGTAGGAAGATGTATATACCCTGTTGCCGGTGTTCCGTTTCCTCCACCAGGCCGAGTATGGCAGCATAGCTACGTGGCAGCTTCATTCCAATGCGACCGCATATATGCCTAGTCCCGGACAGATAAAAAAATCAACCTAGAAGGTAGCCCCTGTACCGCTACCAATGCATGTCCCATATGATCAACCGCGACAGCTACTTCGTAAGAGCAACGCCCACACCGTGACCAGATTCGTCTGAGAGAACAACGCGGAATGAATAAAAACGCTGAGGCCAAATTAAAGAAAGAAGAACGAGATACGCTCAAAGGTATAAGGCAGGGGTATCAACCTTGAGGATGTCCAATGTCAATATAGTCGTCATCGTCGTCGTTAATTGCTGTCGCATGCATCAGGCCAGTCACTTGACCCTCGTCCTCGTCTAATTCTTCGTCGTCGTCATACATGGTAGCCTCGTTCATCTCCCGGGCCGGAGGGACGGTTCGGTTCAGGTGGTCGCGGAGTTGCTTGACGCCGTCACCACTGAATACACAGAACACTTGCCGCTGCTGATGCGTAAATTCCGGAGGTGCATCACGACAGAACTTGGTAAGCTCATCCCGTAGGAACTCCTGCACCCCGGTCAGACTGAGGTGAGTGAGTCGAGGACAATTGTTGAGTAGAGCGTGGATGCCCTGTATCACATGTGAGACAATTGATTCTTGGCAAGGAGCATTGACCGATCAGAAGACTTACAGGCATGGTCAAGTTAACACAATAGCTTAAATGGACTCTCTCCAGGCTACTGATGGATGAATGGGGCGAGGCCTTTGGCCGCGCTAGTGCCGAGATACTGCGATCGGTGATCAAAGTGCACTTGACCAGACCGATCCGCCGCAGTTTCGGCAACGTTGCTAACTCCTGAACACTGCGGTCCGTCAGACGAACGCAACAAGCCAAATCAATGTATCTGATCCGGTTGCAGGACTTCACAAGCTGGATCACAGCCGCATCGGTGATGTTCGAGCAGTGGCCCAGGTGAACGTAATGCAGGTTCTTTCCCAACTTGCATATAGCCCCCACTGCACGGTCGGTGATGAATTTACATTTGGCAAGCACAAGATTTCGTAGGCGAGGAGCCGAGCTAACTATGCGCTCTACAGCATCGTCTCTGATGTGCTCACACGCTGTCAAATCAAGTATACGGAGGCTGTCCATGGAGAGTTGCTTTGGGAGTTCTAGGAAGGCTAGATCGTCTATCTCTGTGCAATGCGCGAGCCGTAGTTCGCGGAGGTTGGGAAGGGTAGCCATGAGGGAAGTTATAGAGCGATTGGTGACAGACTTGCAGTCGTGCAGGTCGATCTCCAGGATAGCCGGACAGTTCCGAGCAAACGATGTAATCGCTCTGTCCGTAACTTGTATAACACCGTTGAGTTTCAACTGATCCATATGTTAGCCTCGGTGACACAATGATTCAAGACGGTACTCACTCTTTTGATGTGTCGACAATTCTCCGATACGACAATTAACGAATCATCTGTCACTTTGATACAGTTGGTGATGTTGAGCCCCTGGAGCCGAGGACTGTTCCTGGCCACAGTGTATAAAGTGTGATCCGTAAGGGAACGCAGATCCGAGACATCTAGGGCTTGCAAATGCCGATTGCCTTCCACTAGATCCGACACTCCCTTGTCTGTCAGTTTCGAGCAGTTGGTCAAAGTCAACCGCTCGATCCGGTTACATTGTGCGAAGGGTACAAGAGTGCCGTCGCTGACTTCCGCCATCAGGGCAGAAAGATTCAATCTCTTGATCAGATCGGAGTATGAGAAGAAGCTGTCTTCTTTCCCAACTGTCGTCGTAATGCTCTTCATATTGACCCAGTTGCTGCAAGACGGTCGGTGCCATAGTATTCCAACACAATTAGCAGCCCATCCTCGACATACCAACATGCAGCTCAACATGTCGGCCGGCGAGCTGAGCTTTGCAAATATGGCGATCAGGATTTCCGGGGGAAGACGGCCGATCGGCGGGAGCACGTACTGCCCATTTTGTGCGTGTACGTCGCGGGAGGTTGCGATGCCGCCAACGGACGATTGCGAATCATTTGCCTGGGCTGTGAAGAAATCGGTGTCGTCATCAGCGTTCCGGTCCGGGGATGACGAGGATGACGACTCGGAAGGAGCTTCGCTCGAGAACCGAGCGGGTTGCCGTGAGCGGGGCATGAGGACCACCGAGGGATGCGAATCCAGCGTGTTTCAGATCGGTTGGAATGATCGGTTTGTGGGATATCTCACAAACGGATGGAAACGTACGGCATGGACTGCGTCTCTATAAGACCATCGAGGCGAAGAAGGCCCTAGCAAGAGTCGGCGCAACTCTTGTTCAAGATCGCTTCTATGGCTGCTGGATCGGAAAATTGATCAGAAGGTGAGACGGCGTTCTTTTAGTTCGGTCTAGCTTTAAAAGCTGTGTTGAAGGCCGTACAGTCGAACGGAGGGGGTGAAGGCGCTTAAGAAGGGGCAACGCGCGTCGGAAGTGCCTGTAGACGGCAAGGGAGGGGGGAATAGAGGGAAAGGCGGCGGCGGAGGGATGTGAGGGCGGTGCAAATGTTCCTGGTGACGGATGGGTGAAGTGAGCACGGCTGGGAGACGCACTCCAAGCTATGATCGAAAGCGGTTTGGCTAGGGGACTCGTGGGGCGGAGATTATATAGCTAGACGATCGGGCGGCTGTGAAGAAAGGGAAGGCGGCGACTGCAATTCAGCGGAAGGGAGGGGGAGAAGTCAGCAAAGCCGTTTTCTGCTTGCGTTCCGTGGGGTGTGGATTGTTCCGTTATTCGTCAGAATACCAGTCTTTTGGAGACACAAGGAAACGAAGAATGAGAATGAAATTCGGACGAGTCAAATGTCAGCAAAGAGAGGGATAACCAAGTGGGTGATGGGGGGGAAGAGGATCTTCGCTTGACTGAGGGCAAAAGTTGGAAGACTCCCAAATCGGTCGGGCAATGTTCGTCTCGTGGCCCGATTGGTTACCGCTATCGCCGTCTGGACTTAAATCTTACTAACCTCAGGCTCCTTCCTTAGTGAAGAATGAGTAGTAGTTCATCCATACTTAGACTCTGCCTGACATTTAAGGATCCTGAATCAAGGCAGACATACATATCTTAGTACTACTAGTAGTACTATTAGTACTAACTTCTCTCTTTAGCGCCTGTCTCGCATTGCTACCCCCTCTATGGCGTGTCACCAGACACCCGGATCTCTCCACCTGTTCAACAACTATCTACCAAATATAGAATACTATCGTATTTAACTACTGCTAGTATTGAATATATATAATCCCTTTTTCAACCCAAATGAGGATCTGATCAGGCAAGGTCGGGTCTAGTGCCCCCCTTCCGAAAATGGGACCTATTGGCATGGCGGTAAAACTATCGGCAAGACATTAAAGTATGTTGATTGGGAACCAACAGGGATAAATTATAATGTCAGCCTATGCTGGTGCAACCCAATCTCAGAAAATTTGATGTATATTGTCTAGATTGTCTATGCATATTTATTTCCATTTCAAACAATGCATTCATGATCGGTTCGCCCCTTTAGCCCAGTCACGGAGGATATTCTTTCTCACTTTCCCGGTACTAGTCTTGGGCAGTTCCGCCACGACTTCAACCTCCCGGGGAATCATGAACTTGCTGATATCGCTGGCATTTCGGGCCCAATCGATCACCTCTGAACCAGTCAATGATTTCCCTGGCTTAACCGTCACAAATGCCTTTGGTCGTTCTCCCCAGTGGCTGTCGGGAACGGCTACAACTCCCGCCTCGAGAATGTCTGGATGGGTGACCAGCATAGACTCCAGCGCCACCGATGAGATATTCTCTCCGCCTGTATTTGGCTTATTAGCAAGACAAGATCACGGTGGTATCATTCAATTCAAGACTTACCGCTGATAATGATGTCTTTCGCTCGGTCTTGGATCTGGATTGAGCCATCGGCATGCCACACAGCTAAGTCTCCGGAGTGGAGAACGCCACCCGCGAAGAGTTTCCGCGTAGCGTCGGGGTCTTTGTAGTAGCCCCGAGCACAGATGTTGCCGACGAAAACAATCTCGCCTATCTCCTTACCATCCCGACTAACATCGACGATAGTTCCCTCGGGAAGATCCGTCTTCACCACTCGTACAGGTAGACTGGTCACGAAGCCATGTCCTTGCCTAGCCATCTTCTTGTACCTTTCACTTGAAGGCAGGTTGTCCCATGCAGGCAGGTAGTAGCCTTTTGTGATCGGCCCATATGTCTCCGTCATGCCATATACATGCACAGGGTGTAGGTTCAAGTTAGTCATTTGCTCAAAGAGATGAGGCGTAGGCGGACTCGCTGCGACTGTCACATGAACAGGTTCGGGCAGTCGCTCTGCCTCCTTAGAATTGCAGAGCAGGGTATTCACCGTTGGAGCGGCATTAAAGTGCGTGATGTGCTCCTGCTTCAGTAAATTCCAGATCTGCGGGTAGTCGATCTTCCGTAAGCAGTAATGGGTACCACGCACTGCGGTGACAGCCCATGGGAACGTCCACCCTAAACAAAGTTAGTTGCACATACCCTCGAAAAGTTAATCCAAGTAATGAACACCAACCAACAGCGTGAAACATAGGCAAAGTCCACAGATACCGACACCGACCACGGTGCGAATTGAGCCCAGACTCAATCACATTGCCTATCGCAGCAAGATAACAGCTACGATGGGTATACTCGACACCCTTCGGCCGAGCTGTCGTGCCGCTGGTATAAGCAAGGGCGATAACGTCGTCTTCGGAAGCAGCCTGGGCCTCGAGCCCAGGCCAACCTTGGGCCCCGGTATCCGAGTCATAACTCAGGCCTTCCAAAACCGCCTCATCAAAGGGACCAGATAATTGACCTTCGGTAGCATCCGTGTCCGTATCGACAATAATAGGGATACTGGGCTTTGAAGCACGATAACTCTGCAGAAGCGACAGGAACTCCTGATCAACAATGATAGCCTCAACATCAGAGTGCGTAAATATGTAAGCGATATCGTCCTCCTTCAACCGATAATTTACAGCTATCCAACCATCCATTAGCCAAAACCCGATCAAGCTTGAAGCATATAAAGAAAAATACAACTCACCAACATTCACCGCTCCAGCAGCCGCAATCCCAAAGATTGACTCCAAAAACGCAGGCGTATTAGGGCACAGAACACCGACTCTCTTAAACCCATGCTTCTTCAGATAATAAGCAAGACCCCTTGCACGATCCGCCGTCTCGGCATAACTACGTCTCAAAACCTGGTTATTCGCAGTAAGGTGATGAATCGCCTCGGCCTGTCTCCTAACATTAGCACTCAACCATACCCCCCTTGAAAGCCAATAGGCAAAGAAAGAAGGAAAGAAAGAAAGTCAAAACAAACCTCAGGCTCAATAGCCGCCGCCCTAGGCAAGAAGAACGTCGGCGACAGCGTATGGAAATTCACCCGTTGCTCTGCGCCAGGGACAAAATGACCCAAGAGTCCTGACAACCTTGATACGGCACCTGACATGATTTGACCTCGGCAATAAGTATGACGACTCTTCTATGAGCTAAACGGGCTAATTTAGATTGGTTGGTCACAAGATATGCAGGAAGTATTCAACCAAGAACCAGTAATTATAGATAACCCCTCGAAGAAACAAGAGTAAGTTGGCACAACCGCCCTGTTGAGTCCTGACCCCAAGTTGGAGAAGGCTGCGAAATGCGGGGAAATCGAGACTAGCTCCGAGTCGGACCGCGGAGGAAGGCGGGAAGATCGATTCGACTCCCGCTGAGGTTCCCCTTCCTTCTATCCGGAGATACTACTTGTCGTTTTTGGATTTAGGAAGGGCTACAATTGTCTCGATATGGTAACTTAGTAGATGTTTTTTCTTCTTTTTTGGGGTACTATTTCGCTCCTTGCGTAGTCCTTTCTTTCCGCCCTTGATTTGTTTACGCCCACTCAGTAGCGATTAGTAAGGCGTGCCAAGGTGATCGGTTATTGGTTAGGTCCTATTCTTACCTAGGCTATTAACAGTGTCTGATATATGCTTGGGGTAGTGGATTGCAACAAGATATATACTTGATTATTATTATAGACATGTGTATCCATGAAATAGAAAGTAAAACATACCTTTCCGTGATCATCTGTGACTTGTAAGTTGAAAGACAAAGATCCGCTGCCGACATATCACATGTTCGGCGCTTAGCAGTGGGTTAATATATTCAAGCTTATCAGTGTGCAATACATTACACAGTATATACTATCCGCTATAAATAATAGGCTCAGTTGACCAAACCATTGCCACACGATTAAGAGACACCAATAGTATAGGGACATTACGCGCATGGGTGTGTGATCACGAAGGGGTCGAATGCAGGGTGTATCTCGTCACATTTGATCTACGTATCACCCGCTTATCACACCCGTGGGCGGCAAGTGGATGCACACCTGAGGATGATAAGGATGACCTGCAGTATTGTGCAACGGGCCGAGTATCGCATGGGCATGGAGAGTGAGAAGGGACGATAATGATGATTATTCGGTCTATGTATTAGATGGATATCGAAGTTTACTGAATGGAAATTTTTGATAAGTAACCGGTCGTAGAGTCATTCTTAACTCGGAAGGAAAAATTCTTTGGATTAAACCGCCACGGCGCGAAATAAAGGTCGGCTATTTTGAACAACCTTTCATCCCAAGCGACTCCGTTATTTTTTATAATAAGAAATCGGTCTTTCCAGCCTCCATGTGCGTCACAACATGATCATTGTGGAATATTCATGATAAGGTAGGGACAGTGAGAACAAGGTCGATCGGTTCGCCGTCCAAACAATCTCGCTGAAAGAAAACCGTTCGCGATCCCAACCCATCCCATCAAAGACACAAGCAACCAGCCGCGCAACGAGGTATCTAATATCCGTACTGAGCAAGCTGGCTCTTGGTCTGGTCGCTGACACCCGCCGACTTCTGGGCCTGGACGAGTTGGCGGCGAGCGGCCTTCTTGCGCTCGTAGTATGCACTGCTCTTGACCTTTCTGCGCTCCTCGAGTCTATAGTAGAAAAAAAATCCCGTTAGCCATGATCCAGCCACCCCTGTAGCGAAAATGCCTCCGCTATCCATTCTGGTATATCTAATACGCACCTGGCGACAACGTCCTGGTACTTCCAGCCAACCTCGTGGCTGAGACGGCCGACGGTGCAGTACTTGCGGCCGGGGCGGAGACGGAGGACACGGAGAGCCTGGGGAACAACGACACGCTTCTTCTTGTCATAGGGAGGAGGAACACCCTCGAAGACCTTCAGGCGCTCCATGGCAGCAGCACCACGGGCGGTCTTGTGGGGAATCATTCCGCGGACGGCCTTGTAGAAGATGCGAGAGGGAGCACGGAAGTGGAAGGGACCTGTGATCATTCAGCACAAGCCCACGGAGTTGCGTCGATTTTTCTGTCGGTTGCACTCACCACCGCGGGTAGGGTTGAAACGGGTCATCTTGCGAAGGTAGGCGTGGTACTTGACTAGATCCCGATATCCATGTCAGTCCGTCTGCACCAGTAACAATATCATATGCTGTTCCACCGCCATTTGCGTAATCCTTGTGTAGACTTCCTCCTCTTCGCCAACGCTTTCTTCCAATCGGCCAAACTTCCAAGAAAAACACAAGTAGAAAAGTGAATCGGGTCGGATAACGTACGCTTCGCGCGGAAGAACTCGCCGGAGATGTTGAGGGCTTCACACCTCACGACGACGATCTTCTGGCCATTGAGCAACTGCTTAGCGACAGTGCTGGCCAGACGACCAAGAAGGTGTCCCTTGCCGTCAATGACGACCTGCCAAAATCCATCACAAGTCAGCGATCACTGTAAACCCAAACAGAGTGTCTTTCCCTTCTCCTATATCTCTTCTCTTTTCCTCTCCGCATCCACGGCAATTCAATGTCTTCAAAAGATATATCACGAAGGTTTCCACCCGGGAAGCGACTGCATGTGAAAGGGGTGTACGCACGACTGGCTCGGTGGAGGACATCCTGCTCTTCTGTCACGAAAATATCCAGCGAAAGGAAGAGCGCTGCTCTAGGATACTCCCTTGGGATGTATGTTGTCGGCGGTTGTTGTCGTTGTGGGCAGGTTCTACGCACACAACGAAGTCGGATGAGTTCGCACGCTGGCTAAGCGAGGCTAATGTGCGGCTTGGGTAAGGTCGAATGAGGGCCCCAGCCCTAACTCCGGCCAATCCCGTTCGGCCCCATCACGTGATACACCCGGAGATTCCAGCCCCATCGGCCTCTGTTCAGACTTGATAGGCCCGCTCCACTATCATTTGCCCTTATCAGGGGGTTACCTTGTGGTTTTCAAGGCCGGTGATGTCAAAGATTAAGTGGTCGATAGTAGATGGTATCAATCATTCCGCACACTTATCGCTGCCCGCCCCGCAAGTACAATTGGGCGGAACTTGCAGTCGCCGAGCCGTTCAAGTCCCGTCTAGAGGCACTCCTTGAGCAAGCAATCACACAATGTTCCTTACTGTCTACACGGGTTACCTTGTAGAACTCTTATCTCATTTGCAATCTCTGGGGTGTACGGGGTCGCGCAATATAACTATGATAGGCGGTTGTTGATCTCTTGGTTGGACCTATAGACAAGCGCCTTCAACATTTTGCTTGAAGATTGACATGCTTCTAATTACCGGGACCTTATTTAAAACTCCAGTGCAGAAATGAAGATCACTGGGTCCGCTGACTAAGTAGAACTTGAGATCAATGACATTAGAATCACGTCGATTATTATTATTATTACTTATTATACTATACGTCTCGTTCATCGCGGCGTATTATACATATATCCACAAAGATTCCAAAGCAGAAGAAAATATGACCGGCTTTCGTTACAGCGTTGAGGTGAGATGTGAACAGGCAGTAAAAGGTGTCCCTGATTTATGCAATTCAGTACAGGGGCAATTTGGCGTCTCGCGTACCTCTCTCGATGACTTCTTCGATATTCCAGCGAGGAGGCTCAATTGTCTTCCTGCCTCCCTTGAGGTCTTCGTCGGAGGGAGGGTCCCTCAAACCGCCCGCAACACCGGTCGAGTATTTCAGCTCCAGGGCATCTCCTATCTCATCGCATACTCGCAGGATGCGGTCGAGGTCGTCCTTTGTGTGCGCAGCGGACACACAGAATCGGGCGCGAGAGAGCTCCAACGGGGTTGCCGGGTAGGTTACGACGACGACGGAGATCTTACGCCGTAACATTTCATGAGAAAAGGCTGGCATCTTGGCAGGGTTGTAGAGCATGAGAGGAACAATCGGTGAGTCGTCGTGCCCGTACACAATGAATCCGAGTCTCTTGAGTCCGAGTCTCAGATACCGGGAGTTGAAGGCCAGTCGCTGCACTCGTTCGATACCCTGGCCTGGGTGGAGGGGGTCCTCATCGGCAATGAGACGAAGGGAAGAATAGATCTGTGCCAAAACTGAAGGCGCCGGTGCCTCGCCAAAAACTTGACCGGCGTTTGTAACGCGCACTTTGTCAATGATCGCCTTATCAGCGGCAATGTAACCGCCATTGGCGCCAAAGGATTTAGTGAAAGTGCCCATGAGGATGTCGACCTCGGCAGGGTCAACCTTGAAGTAGTCACAGACACCACGTCCATGGGGTCCGACGGCACCGATCGAATGAGCCTCATCAACAAAGAGATGGAACTTGTATCGCTTCTTGAGCTCGAGGATCCTGGGAAGGTTGCACATGGTGCCTTCCATAGAGAAAAGACCCTCGACAGTGACAAGGATCTTCTTCCATGGTCGGTGTGTGCGTGGCTGGCCTTGGGAAATTGCTTCTCTCAGGCGCTTCTCAAGATCAGCCATGTTATTATGTGCGAAGACCTGAATAGCTGCACCCGAGAGACGGGCACCAAAACGAATAGACGCATGGTTGAGCTCATCTGACAGGATCAGGCAACCTCGTCCGACAAGAGCTGGGAAGATAGTGGCGTTGGTGACAAAGCCCATCGAGTAGACGACCGCAGATTCCTTTCCGACAAATCTAGCAATCTGATTTTCTACCTCGAGATGAAGCTTGGAGGTTCCCGCCTCGCTGCAAGATCCCGCCATACTGATACCATCCCGGCGAATAGTCTCCTCCGCGTAGTCAGAACAAGGCCCCTCGGACTGAGCGAACCCGAGATAGTTGTACGAACTCAAGTTTAGGGTATCGGTCGTCGTTCCCGTCAGCTGGAAATGGAGATTGTCCTCTGACGTCTGATCAAGCAAGGTGATATACCTGCCGGGCACACCCGTCGTAGGCCGTTCGAAGCAATCATTAATTCTCTGTTTAAGGCGCCTCGTGTAGAAGCTCTCGAAATCACTGTACAGCGAAGCGTATCCATTCTGAGGCCTCAAGTGACGATACGTATGCGATAGGAACCACTTGGCAAAGTAGTCATGAAAGTGACCCAAGAAAATGAGAACTAGGAAGCTGATATACGTCGTCAAGGCAATAAAGTACGGAGGTTCATCAAGCACCGGGTCCGGTATCTCGCCGCCCGGATGCTCACTTTTGTAAAGATGCGACGGATCCCCGAGCGGGCCGAATTCGGCATGCTGCTTCGCTAGCTTTCGAAGCTCAGCGGGATCCAATTCAGCGTAGTTGATCGCATCGGAGGGATTGCTGGACACCGCGCGGAGGGAGCCGACGGCCGTCAAGTTGTCGGACGGCAGCACCGCGGGATTAGTGCTGTTCGGTGTCTCATCTTTCGCTTGAGGTTTCTTTTTGCGATTCCAGCGAGGCATTGTGCCGAACAGCTTGTGGTGTGGTGATGGCACCCTCAGTCGGGGGAGGATAAGATGGCTGGCCCTTAGGGTGGAAAACTGCTGCCTGTTTGAGGAACGGGAGATCGCCTGTCTGACAGGAGAGAGAATGCAGTGGGATTTGAAGGTGGTCATGACTTAAGGCTACTTCGTCTCCACTATCGGAATCGCCGGCTCTCTCATGGTCACCATCCACCCGGAGTGATTGGCCCGCGGGGTCTAGACTGGGTCTGTCCGCTTTGTCTCCAGTGGCCAGATTTTTTCTGACGGTCGGCTTGGAGTCTTGGACCTCTCAAATTTGCTTGGAGACGTTCTTTTTATTAAGCTAGCTCAAAAGGGTGGTACAGATGTAGTACCTTATCGTTGGACCCATACTATGGAGTTGATCTCGTCCGAAGGATGATGTTATGGCCATCTCATTCAAGCATTGCCTGTGGGTCCCATGTTAATCGTCACTATCAAAAATCAGTCTCCTCATAGTTAATCCTTCGTCAATTGGCAAAGTGTTTTTGCTCACTACTTCTCATTCAACAATGGAAAAATGCGTCGCAAGACGCGCTTTGTCTGTGTCTCTGATACCCACGGCTACACCCCAGCGGAAGCCGGCTTCAAACTTCCAGCCGGCGACGTCCTCATCCACGCAGGCGACCTCACAAACCAAGGGAGCATAACCGAGCTGCGCAAAACCATCGACTGGGTGGCCGCGGCTGATTTCGAGGTCAAAATAGTCATATGTGGTTAGTCCGACGGCCCCAGACGCAAGCCTCAGCCCTGCACAGGCTATATTTACCACCTTTCAAAGAACTCAGCCTTGCTACGAAATTACTAAATCAGGTTAAATCCACAGGAAATCACGACATTACACTAGACCCAAACTTCTACGCCAAACACGGCCCCAAATTCCACAACCAGCGCCTAGAAGATCCCCAGAAATGCATCGAAGTCGTCACTGCATCGTCTTCGATCGTGTTCCTCAGGCACCAGTCAGCACTAGTCCGCTTGACCCGGCCCAACGGCCCAAACACCATCTTTAAAGTATTTGGATCACCCTTCTCCCAATCACCCGGGACCTGGGCATGGGGATACGAATCCGTCGACGCCGTTGCCCTCTGGAGCCGCATCCCATTGGACACCGATCTGGTTGTTACGCACACGCCGCCTCGTTCCCATTGCGACCGCCGAGCGACCGGTGGCTCCGTTGGGTGCGAGGCCCTGCGTCAGGCGCTGGGTCGAGTCCGCCCTTCCCTGGCGATCTGTGGCCATGTCCATGAGTCGCGAGGCTATGAGCGAGTACGATGGTCACTGTCGCGTCGACAAGCCCTGAGCAGGTTATTCGTGGGGCGTTGCCTGAACCGGGAAGTAAGAAGCAAAGTTTGATCGACCTGACGGGCAAGAAAGCGCAGCAACTGGAGAATGACGAATTCTTCTTCGACGAAGCGAAGCAGAATCAGGGTGCGCTTTTCCCTCCAACGCAGAATATCCTGATCCCCCCGTCTGCTGATGATGCCGAGGATTCTGCAACGTCATATCCTCGATTAAGACCAGACGAATGCCCAAGTGACCCACCGAACGATCGTTCGCGCCGACGAGAAACTTGTATCGTCAACGCGGCGATCATGGCGACGAGCTGGCCTCATCGCGGAGGAAAGCAATTCAATCCCCCCATCGTTGTGGACTTGGAGCTCCCTGTATGGCGAGAATAAAATTCCGTGAACAGGCCAACTGCTGCAAGATACATCGCCCAGTCCCAATTAATGCATCTACCCACTGACCGCGCCGCATCGGCAAAGGTTCTGAAACTTGTCCCTTTGTGTCGATTCCTCAAACTCATTCGAGACAACGCAGCGATTGGCTTCCCAGTGCTGCCCGTCTGGTAGCAGATAGCTTGAGCTTTGACCTGTCCTTGACGTATGGCTCGCTCTCTGGATCGAGGTAGCATGCACGACTGCCTTGGAACAAAGGGCGAACTACTCTTTCTTGTGCAATTACCTTCCTGCCTGATAGTGTAGTGGGAGGTTGTTTGTTTTTGTGTATTACATCATGGAGGGGACTGTTACATGGGGATAGGCACGGGTATGCAACCGGTGCATTAAGTTGGCTGGAGTCTCACCCTTCCCTGTGCCATATCGTCACTGAGGTATATACCTAAACCGAGACTGACCCCCTAGGTACCAACATTTCCTTTTCTAAGAAAAGAAAAACAAAAAAGAAATCAAATACTAGAACAATAAAAATGAAGAGGACAAAGCATAGCCACTGAAATTACTCGCCACAGCCTAGCTTCCAACTTATGCGCGAAATAACCTCACATCCAACACCTTGACAATGTAGCACAAGATAAACAAAGAAGAGCAACTTCCGGAGGCAGGGAAATAACCGAGTCATCTGCACTCGAGGCATTTCACCTGTCAAGCAGTGATGGTCGTGACTAAATCAGCCACAGGATGTCTAATCGACCCATGGCTAGAAGCTGGATAACACCATTTTGGATCGTTAGCATAAACGTGGGATCCTTGACTACCTTAATCCTACTCAGTACTCTGGGCTGGATCGCATCCGACTTAATGAGGGGTTGCTAACCAGCAGGGATGCATTGCCCCGGAGACCTGTTCTTTGTTCTTCGTAGACGAAACTTGACTGCTCGATCAGGGAGGAATAATTTTCACGTTGTAACAGATGTCTTTCCTAAGGCAATAATGCCCATGCACTATCGTAGAGGGACTTTGTCCCCACTGAATGGGTTGTTTGGGGTGGATGAAGGTAACTAGTAAAGAGGGGTGTTGTCCCAAATTGCAGCGTTAGTCACACCATACGGTAAACTGATACCATGGAATGGGCGTACCCAGTACAGTTACATGGGGCGCCACCTGGCGCTTTGGCGCGTTAACCCTGAATATTTCCGTTGTTCACAAGACCATTAGTGAAATGGGGCCAGTGGAGTCGATCTCTAGCCGCCGACTGGTTATCTTGATAAGATCCAAAATGTCCTTGGTACTAGTTCCGACAACATCATTGGTACGGTGACAGTATTGATACCGATCAGGGCGACGATGATCGCACGAAACTCACCATCACACTCCCACGAGGCACGAAGAAAACGAACATTCTCCACCCCCCACATCAGGTTATGTATCCGATAACGTAAGCCAGTCAGATACGCCGATCACCCGGATCAGCAGCACTGTCCAACACGACGGCTTCAGGCCAGGCTCGGTCATCAGGAATGGATGGTGGTCGGTCGGTGAGCGGAAGACAGATCAATTGTGCATCGGAACAACAACCCGTTGCTTCATCTCCTGCACTGTTCTAAGCGTGAAGAATGGGTGACCAATGATTCCTCGAAATGAAAGCTACAATCTAGCCGGTTTACTCTGGATAAGGTTTCAGCATCATTCTTATGTTAGGTAGGTACTTCCATCAAAGAGCTTGGGGGATCTACACCGTCTGAAGGCCCAGAAAACCTAGGGTCATCATTGGATGCGCTCGCTCGGGGAAATGAAGCAGAAACGAGCCTAATGTCGGGACAATCATTGCATGAAGAGCGACTGAGCTGGTTGGACGCTCTGTGCAACAGGCTCCATGTGCAGATGACTGCAGCCAGGGGCCCAATTACGCATTTCGAGAAGGATCTCTTTCGCAAGGCTTTGGCGGCCTGTGCCACAATCATGGACCGGGAAGTAAAGGTAGTCTGACAGCTATCGTATAGTCAGATTGGCGGAAGCATCCCAGAGATCGAGTGATGAATAATAGCTACATTACGATTCTGGTTCGTTGGCTCGGTTGGTCTCACCGTTGGTAAAACAAAGTGATAGATCGACATTTGACACGGTGCGATGCCTTTGCCGCTAGAGCTTTGTGATGGAGGTAAAATCTTGTGACAACATAGCCGCCGAGTAAGGAGCACTGGCTTGCCTGCACTCTAGCATCGTATTCTCTCTCTCCAGAGAAAAGATCGATACGGCTGTACCTACTCTGTAGATTTATCAGTCATATCAATTACGTGATGTACCATTTCTTCGCTGCGGACCCTGCCGGGCTTGACCCATGGGACGGTTTCACGCGAGCCTGGGTTCGGATCGTGTGGCTATAACCGTGGATACCCCTCCAGGCACGAAGTATGTACGTACGTACAGCGTTGTCTGGGGAGAGAAGGGGGTGGGCAACGCTGCATAGAACCGAGAAAACCTTCGGCGCCATAAAATGAACATTCCCCACATCGGTTGACATGCAAGCTGTAGGGAATGATGAAAAGGGGAAAGCAGAGAAATGACCCTGAGCCAATTCGCAACTGCAGAAGCCGCAGCATGATCCATGATCCCTGGTGAGGCGGACCGGATGGAGTTGCATGGAAACCATGTACGATGATTGGACAGTATTCCCCTCCCGGTGAAGGCAGCAGAAAATGGGGGCGCCGCAGCCTATAGGAAAAGAGGTTTGACAGCGAAGTGGTGTGTCCATCCCTGGATCCAAATGCAACTAAGGTGTAAGTCACAACGAGTCAGCGTCACTGACTGGAGTCGCCTTTAGTGCGGGGTTTTCTCGTTGTCGTTGCCAATGAACCACCTTTTTTTTTTCACTGGTCGGCCCCGAGTTGGTGGTCAGAGTCAGGATGATCCAGGATTGATCCATCGAGAAGCGACGCAGAGGTTGTCGCATTATTTGATTAGTGTAAGTGCGTATGGGATGAGCATCCACCGTTGATCCGTGGAAAATCGAGAAGCATAGGTCAAATCAAATACGGGTGGGCAGACCGGACGGGTGACAGGACGACGGCCGTGCTCATCTGCCATCAGTCGAACGGTTTCGGCAAATTCAATGATCAGAAGAGAAGGTCAGGAATTCCTTTCTGTCCTGCAGACACATGTTCTTCGCGGGAGGCACTAAACCCCAGCGTGGCATTGAAACTAAGAATGGAAGGTGTCGTGACTCTCACACTCCTGGGCCAGACAAAGAGTAAGCCCTGCTTTTCTCTTGGGGCGAGTGAGAACGCAAGGATGTATGATGGATCAAACGCGATGACCTAGGTGTAGTACTTCCGAAAAGGGTGATAGGTGAAATCTGCCAGGTGGTTGTCAAACAGTATTACACTTGAAGCCTCTCGACCCTCCTATGAGATTACTTTATCCGGAGGTGGACGTTCTGAGAGTTTTCCCACTGGGTATTTGTATCGCCATCAGATCCGCATCTCAGCTCTACTACGATAACCACTCCTCTCCATGAGGTATTTGATCTTCAGATCGATCCAATTCCAAAAATTGCTCACTTATGAAACCGTATCATTCATCGCTGCCTTGAGATAGATTCAGAATCATTGATTGATTCTATAGAACAATTGTCTATTGACCGCTCTTTATAACTACCGGGCATTGACCATTCCCATTGTTGTTGCATTCGATATTTCTTCTTGGTATTATTATTATTTTGATTTTGGATCCTTTTTCTTATTACTATTTGACCAACATCACAAGTGCAATCCTTCTACTCTCTTTGACCCCAATTCTCTCACATCTTAAACAAAAGCGGGCCTTAAAACGTGTCGTGGGAAAGGGCGTCTCCATAATATTACCTTCTGTTGCTCCGCCTACCAATTCATTCCATTCACCGCTACTGCGGAACCCAACTGTGAACATCAGAGTACCTGACGCAGGGAGGAGAATATTCTGAAAGAAGAACAGCAAAAAGAAAAGAAAGGCAGAAAAAGATAAAAAAAAGAAAAGAAAAGAAAAGAAAAGAAGTACCGAGTAAGGAACAAGCCGATTTATTACTGCCTTTCTCCCCATTGTTGCCCGAAACCGCCGTACAGAGAGATATACTGGACAACATCAAGTCGAGAGTACAGTACAACAGGTGGGATTGACGTTGGGTGGCATCATTGAGCATCACCCCGTGACTTCCGATGCAATTTTCTCCATCATTATCGCTCATTATCACTCAGCCCTGACTCAACGTGGTGCCAGTTCATCTCATTGCATCCGTCCGAACTACTATTCCTTTCTTGTTGCTTCTATCTTTCAACGCTGTTCTACTTTTAGAGTATCGTGGCGCAGTGTCCTTGGACCTGACTGAGCCTTTGGGGGGGGTTTTTCCATTGGTTTATTTTTTATTATTATTATTTCGATTATTATTTCTAATTATTCTGGATTTTTCCCTATTTGCCCCTCGGCTTGCCTCTCCCGCAAGGGAAAACCAGAGACTCTGATACGGTGGAACCCGTCTGTTGGTACCGTACGTTACCGATCTTGGTGAAAGTTTACCTTGCAACCAAAACAACAATCCAATCGCTGTGCCTGGGAATTGCCGGTCCCATTTTTGCCTCTTGGTTCCTGGGCTGACGGCCAGTGCTTCACGTTACTTAGTACTTACTTGTTCCGCTCCCTCTCTCCGTTTTCTTCCTGAGTCTCCCCCCTTACTGTGTCTTCTATCATCAAACTGTCACATTGCATGGTTGTTGTCTTGCCTATGATCTGCTAATCAACTTCTCTTGCTTCGCCGGCATTCTCGATGAATTGGTCATAGTCAATATTGACGATGAACTGATTATCACGAGCAACCCACGTCACTTCTATTCATTCATTCATTCAGCCCACACACTTCTGTTTTCCCAGGCACCTCCTATTTATGCCCAGACTTGGTGTGCAACGCCACCGTCCAGCAACGCTAAACGTATATTAACTCACATACGCATTAACTCCGATTTCGATTTCACCCCGCACATACACCCCCTCTTCAATTCAACCATCATCTATCCATACCCCTTTCCAACGAGATAAGTCTGAATGATCAATTTATGCCTTCATTGAATTGTCCAAATCATGTCGTCCACACCAGAGTTCGATCCATATGCTGTTTTAGGCGTCCAGAAAGATGCGACCCTAGCAGATCTCAAAACCGCCCGCCGGGAACTTGCCTTCAAGCATCATCCAGATAAGGTTGGGAATAACTCATCAGAGATGTTCCAGAAAGTCCAGAAGGCCTTCGAGATCCTCTCGGATCCCACGGAGAGGCAAAAGTATGACCAGAAGGTTCGCATCAATGAGCTCCGACGGGAAATGGCGGCGCGTAACGCAACCGCGGGCGGTTCGGCGTCCTACGCCCAACGGGGAAGCACGGTCCGCGAGTATCGGGATGGACGCATCTATGAAGAGAGAACGCCGGCCGAGGTGTACGATGATGTCCGGTTTACAAGGGAATCGCGGTCGACGCCCCGCAAAAACGATGAGTTTGGGATGCGACAACGGACGAGAGCATCGGAGGAAAAGAAGAAGACTAAGAGCGTTCCTGTCAGCTCTCCCCGTCCATCGAAAGATACGGCACGCAGCAGCGCCAAAACGACCCACACGGACCGGGCCAAGTACCGTACCAAGGAACGGCGGCGGGAAGCTTACGAGAAGATGTATGCATCCTACGCCGGGTCCGAAGATGATGCCTCTGACTCGAGCGCATCATCAATCTGGGTACGTGTAAAGCGTCCATCGGCCCGGAGTCGGGAATCATCATCTCGGAAGACCAAGCCAGTGGAGTCTTCGCACCGCTCCGAGCGACGGTACGAGGAGGATTACTCTGACGAATGGGATAAACACGAGAAGCAATATTCCACAGCCGAAAACTACATTCGCCGCTCCAAAGGGACGCTCCCTGTGGAGCGTGAATCTAGACAACGTTCTTCTCGCTCCCCCAATCAACGTCGGGGCTATGAATCGGCGGATCCAGAGTCTTCCTCCTCCCGGCGCGCCGGTAGGTCAAAACGCTCCAAGGAGAGCGTGCGACCTGACAACTCCCGCCACGGCTCATATGAGGAGCTCGAGTCTTACGATCATCCATCCCGCAGTTATGAAGCCAAGGTCCCGCCCATGCCCACCGCCGCCACTGCTTCAGGGATGAAAGGCCCTTCGTCTGTCCGGCCTTCCCTCCAGCCCTCACGGTCCGCGACAGCTTCTTATTCCCGACCTAAACGGGAAGCTAGTAGTCGCTCGGATCCGGTACTCTTAGGCATGGTGTATTCTGACCCACCATCGCGCACTGCGAAGGTGAGAGGCGTGGATAAGACGGATTCAGGGTACTCAAGTCCGGGTACTCCGGAAATGGCGGTCGGGGAGAGCCCCCCCAAGATGTCGACTCGTTATAAGGTTTTTAACGACAAGCTTGTCAACGAGCCCGAGACCATTTTGGTAGAACCACCACACCCGTCTCCAAGACACTCCAGAACTTACTTGCCGCCTCAAGAGCGTCTGCCGCGCGCCCCACCGAAACCGGTTCGAAGTAGTACTTACGCTTACACCGCAGAGCCGTCCAAGCGTTACGAACAAGCCCGACCAGAGACCTCTAGGCAATCGTCCAGCAGACAATTGTTTGGAGAAGTCGACTACAGTCGTAACAAGGAGAAGGAGTTCAAATATGCCCGCGAAATTGGGCCGGACAAATATTCTCGCCATCACTACGACAGCTACCACCCACCACCTGTCGGAAGACGCCAGTCCACCTACTAGTACACCTAACGAACCCATAATAACGACAGTAACTCAATCTCAGATATTCATTGGAGCACAACACTTGGTACATTCAATTCTCAATTCTTCGTCTCTCTTTCAGTGGCCCAGAGCCTTTTACTAGCATTTAGGCGGCTCAATCGCAGTTGATATCAGAAATGCCCAATGATGTCCAACAATGTACCAGAATAACCTATGGGGAGTCTGCCAGCACTCAAAGACTGCCGACATATTTCTATTCTTCGCACATTATAAGATATCATCATGCCTTCACACCCAGAAACGGGCTAGGCTCTGATCCACTGAACCGCAGGCATATATCTGTTCGTTTATGACCACGATCCACATTTCTTGTTTTGCTATTACTACAATCATTTTTTTCTTATTAAATCATATCGGCGTACGGATGGGACACTGTGATGAGTATCAATCATCCATTTTATTTATCCAGGGAAATGTCGGAGTAAATGATGATTGACGATCATGACTGATGAATCAGGTTGGGGAGGTTTTGAACGCTTGGGAATTGGCACATAGCATATCAATTGTTTTATTCGCATGGACGCTTGTTCTCAAATTGGCTATTCATAGACTGTATTTGTTTTGATTTTCTTATTATCGTATATGTTAGATTTGTAGGTTTAATCCAGACCGAACACTTTTGGGTAAGCATAAGCACTAGTACTACCATATCTCATACCCCGCATTTATATATAACACGTAGAATATGTTGAATCTATGAGTATGTCCCCAACAAATCCAAAAACTGCCTGTATATTGTTGGTTAAGAATCAATTGAATCTATCCTCATTATAACCGAATGTAAATACATACAACTATCAAATTCTTCACCTGATTTTCACCCACAAACAAGCATTTACACGAAAATAGAACGGGCAACGGAGAAAAATTTGGTGATAAAGATGACGGGAAATCAACAGGGTATGAATGCATGACAGTTTTCCATCATTCTCGCTCAATTGAGCACATACGTATAGAGCCCCTAGCTTATACTCAAGAAGTTTCGTTTTTCTCCATGCGATTGGAGAGCACTTTCATTCAAAAAGGTAAATAACCATCTAGGTAACGGGGTGAAATGGAAAATGGGATGTGATATAATTAAGGTAGGGCGCTGGTTTGTCAATTGATGTCTTTGACGGGGTAAGGTGTGGGGGAGCCATCCTTTCTATGAAGATCGATCGGCTTACGGCTCGGTCCAGTCGACCTGGTCTGTCACGGGATCTGATCCGTCCTTGGAGTATGTGATACGCAGACGGAGGCGGAGTTTAGGTGGGAGGGCCTTGGGTATTGTTAGTATATCGAGAGGCGGGAGAGAATTGAGAACTTACTCCGTTTAGAGAGGCGACCTTCAGTAGTTGAATACCTTCATCCCCGGCCTCGAGATCGGGCTTGTTGATTGCGCTGAGTTGAAGCCGTTGGCTCTTGGGTACCGCGGCTTGCAATCCAACACCGGAGAAACTAGTGAAGTTCGAGGAGTTTCGGAAACGAGCCTGGATCTGTGCATTGCCGCCGCTGCCCCGCTGGACCTGCAAGGTCAGAGAAAGGTCGTTCTTATTGAATGCTGCATGGACAGGGGCTGCGGGTGCCGAGGGGGGAGGGGTGGATGCCGTAGGCGCGGCGGATCCAAGGCCTCCAAGGAGGTCCATAGACGAAGATGCCGGCTCAGCTGGACCGGCCGACGGGGTGTTTCCATTGGAGCCAAACAGATCCATGATGGCAGCTGTGTTGGACTGTGCTGGCTTCTGCGTCGGCTGGGGAGCAGGGGACGAGAGCCCAGAGTCCCCGCCGAGAATATCTGCCAGCAGGTCGGCTGTATTCTGGGACCCGTTGCCAATTGGGCTGGTCGCCGGAGCATCACCACCCATGAGGTCGAGAAGCATATCCTGCTCGGCCGGTTTGACGGCCTTCTTAGTCTTGTCCTTGAGGATTTTGCTCTGGCGTTTCTTTGCCGGAGCACCCAGGACCCTCTGTTCTTCACGAATCTCGGGAGGTGGCATACGTTCAAGAACACCCCGGCGAATCTGGTCGTAGCCGAAAAGATTGGTGTACTCGACAGCTCGTTGTTGAATTTCCACGCTCAAGTCGGCCGTCCGGCTATTCAGGAAGCGGCGGAGGCGCTCGACCTGAGCTGGGTCCGACATGCGCACGGTAAGCTTCATCGAAGCAGTGGTAATGTATTCGACCACCGTTTGTGTTGCATATGTACTGTTGAGAATATTGTTGAATAGATCAACGAGGTCACTTTCCTTGACCTCCTTGACCAGCTCCTCTTCTTCGTACTGACCGCCCTCAAGAAGGTTATCGCCGTACTCTCCAATGACCCAAGTGGCAGCAAGAGTAAGACCCTCCTGCGAGATATCTTCCTTCAACGACATGTAGAGCTTTTGCACGGAGTAGGTTTGCAATTCTGGTGTAGTAGCAATGAGACGCACAAAGGAAGATAAAATCTGCTCTTTGACATAGGCACCAGCCAATTTCAGGACTCGGAGGATCGTGTCGACATGCCAACGTTTGTTCGGCGCAAAGCGATCGGCAGCAATGCCGATCTGACTAGTCATCGCAGGCTTGAACTCGTTATCCGCGACCTCTAAGAAAGCAAGAAGCTCCCTGATGATGACACGGACGTTGCTCTCATTGATTAACATAAAGCTAAGGTCAAGGGCTCGTCTTCTGATACTGATATCGGGATCGCGGAGACACTCTAGGATGGTGTTGCGATGTCTCTGCACAGCGTTGGGCTCGATAGCGACAACCTTGTTCAGCGTATTAAGAGCAACATAACGAATGTTGTTGTCCTTATTGGTGAGGAATTTTCCGAGGATGTTGACGCCTAGAACTCTTAGGCCCGAGTCAGCCTCAATGTCAAGGATGGTGAGGACCGCCTCGTAGAGGATAGCGTTGCCGACGTTCTTTGTTGAATCAGTATTGGTAGCCACCTGGGCTAGAATGTCGTTAATCAGTTCGCTTGTTGCCGCGTCTCCTCTTCCTAGTACTCGAAGGAGACGTAAGATCTTGACCTGAAGGAAGGGATCTGTGATTCCAGAAACGTCATGTTCCGGGGCGTATCCGGAGGTTGTCAACCCCTTTAGAGCACGAACGAGGCTACCAGCCAGAGGTCGGAACATCTCAATCACGCCTTCCTGTCCTTCCTCGGCCTCCTCCGCTTCACACATGTCTATTACCAAAGTCAAACCGCATAGCAAAACACCATGGTTCCTGTCCGACAAGAGGGTTTTGGCCTTCTCGAAGAAATGCTCCTGCAGGTCTGGCACCTTACGACATATCCGCATAGCACACAGCGCCGCCTTCCTCCTGATATATGGATTTGCGGTAGAAAGAAGAGACTCGACTTCCGGGAACAGATCTCTGGACATCTCGACGGAGGCGATATTTCCTAGGGCGCAAAGGGCAAGCCCGACAATATATTGATTGGAATGGTTAAGATCACTGCGTTATATTAGTGGGAAAGATCCATAAAGCGCATTATCCATTCAATTTGTAACTTACTTCTTTAGCGAGTTTGTCACCAGCGTCAATACTTCTTGATTCTCATCTAGTAACAGCATAGTGCCCAGGTATCCCAATCGCTTGTCTGCGAAGCGGTGGGACGCCAGCAGTTTCAGGCATTCGATCTGACCGAAGTGCGTCCGCTCACCGAGGGTGAAAAGATAAAGTAATTTGGCAACATTGTTTCTCCTGTCAATGGGTATGAGATGTCGGTTCAGGTGAGGAATGCACAGATGGCTGACCGTATGCCCGAATCATGGCTCTCTTCCCTGAACGACGCACGAATGGCCGCGCTCTCTTTTTGAATCACCGCCCGTTCATCGGCGATTGTCTTAGCAGAACGTACATTTCGAATGAATTGCTTGACTATAAATTTTGGGCGGCGGAGAAAGAATTGTTAGCAACTAAGTTGCCAGGTAAGGGGATGCCATTGTGGGGGGTTTCCATTAGCAATGGACACGACTTACGGGATGTCATGGCGGCCACAGGGACCCCCAACGGGGTATCAAGAAGGATATGAATTAAAGGAGGACAAAAGAAGGAACGGGAAAGAAGAAAGCAATGCGAAGAAACCAGTCCACGCAACTCCAAGGCCAGATGAAAAGCGTCTAAACAATAAAAGTAGCAGCAACGGCGTCGGTAGGTTGAGCCTCGCCCGTCCTTTGCGACTTGTCCGTCTTGGCGCTTCCCCCCTTTGAGTCTAGGGCCCCTCGTGGGCTCCCCACGTGATCCGAAGAATGGATATCTAGATAGCCTGAAACTACAGGCCATCAACATTGAATTGTACCCTGTATCGTATTCGTATCGTTACCCTTCCGCACCGCCTTATAAGGTACGTACTTCGGCGGTACCGCGGTTCCGAGGCCCGGGATCAGGTGGACGGCATGACGTGAGGGCTTCCCAGTTACTCCGTACAGAAATAACTTTTCTTACTCAGAGGCTCTACGGCCCCCCATGATCTCCGTTCAATTTGCCTTGTTCTCTGCATAATTCGTTGCAAATGTTGGATGCCAATGGTATAGGAAACACTCGTCGCGGTCCGATGCCCGGCTGATACGCGACACCGACCATCTTCTCCCTTTTAAAATTGGTCCCTGCGCAAATCAGTCTGCCTTGTCGACAACTATTATTGATCAAGGATCCACCTTTTCCTGGATGTACAAGTGTCCTTCGAGACAATCCTTTCCATCTGTTCACCGAAACCTTGAGAGATTTTATATTTAGTTAGACTGTCCCTTCAGTGCTAAAGCTCTTCTACTAGTTCCACGGAACCAATGTGAGCAAAGTGTACATGACATGACATCTAGCACTCCTGACTCCGCGAGGATGTCTTCTGCAGTATCACAGAGCAATGGCTCCCCGATGTTACGGCCACGGGCCTTATTGAAGAAACTTGACGATTCTACCAATTTTTCCTTGGATAAAAGTTCTCTTGACTCGAGGTAAGTAAGACCGTTGAGCCCACTGCCATCTCCCTCGAGTCTAACGGCTGTATGGTAGTGGACGTTCAACCCCCGTCGCCGAAGATGCCCCTCCATCGATCCAGTCAATATCGCACGCCAGAAAGCAAGCTAGAGCCCGGAATCGACTGTTCTATACCATTGATTATATCCCCCGCGTATCTCACTTCGACCCGAAGAGCGACTATCATAACTTCCGCGGCTTCTTCACACTGTTTTGGATTGGGTTATTTATCATGGTGGCCACTACCGCGCTTCGGAATGTTAAGGACACCGGCTCCCCGCTACGGGTGAGAGTATGGAGTCTCCTGACAGCAAATGTCTGGGCAATGGGGTTCAGCGACCTCGCTATGGTGGTGAGTAGTGCAGCAGTCTTGCCGCTCCATCACCTTTACAGGAACAGTAGTGGATGGCTGCGATGGGGAAGAGGGGGCATGGTAGTACAAAGCATTTTTGAAGCGGCTTGGCTAGTCCTATGGATCAAGTGAGTCGATTTCTAAATTGCGCTTGAATTACAGAACTAATCAAACAATCAGTTGGCCATTTATGTTACGCTGGACTTGGACCGCGCAGGTATTCTTCACTCTGCATACCTTAACCTTTTTGATGAAGATACACTCTTATGCATTCTACAACGGGCATCTCAGCGAGACCGAGCGCCGCTTGTCCGCACTTGATAACCCTGGGTCAGCATCAATAGATGCAGCTGTGGATCGGTATCCTGACCCAGCACCCCGTCGGCCCCCTACGCAGCGGCATAGTAGCCACTCACGATCGGAATCGATCCAAGAACTCCGTGAGGATTTGGCGACCGAATTGACCTCGCCGCTAGGCCATGTCACATATCCGCAGAACCTTACACTCCCTAACTACGTCGACTTCGCTTTCTGCCCTACCCTCTGCTACGAGTTGGAATATCCTCGCAGCAAGGAGCGATCATGGGCAGAGATCGGCCTGAAAACGTGTGCCGTCTTTGGGTGTATATTCCTGTTGACCCTCACAAGTGAAGAGTTCATTCTCCCAGTCCTGAGCGAGGCCAATACCCAGTTGCATTTGAAACAGAGTGCAGCGGACAAAGCCTTGATCCTCGCGGAAACAATCAATATGCTTATGTTCCCCTTTATGATCACGTTTTTACTCGTCTTCCTGGTTATATTCGAATATGTGCTGGGTGCATTTGCGGAGATCACCTGTTTCGCCGATCGTCACTTCTACTCAGACTGGTGGAACTCATGCGATTGGTACGTGTACACATTTGATACATACTCATTACCGGATCTAACCAACTGACATTTTCCCCCAGGCTTGAATTCTCGCGCGAGTGGAATATCCCTGTCCATCACTTCCTCCGACGGCATGTCTATTTCCCCTCCAAGGCCCGCTTTTCTCAGTCCGTCGCCATGTTCATCACCTTCCTCGTGAGCTCTGTTGCCCACGAGTTAGTGATGAGCTGCATTACAAAGAAACTCCGCGGCTACGGATTCGTCGCTATGATGCTCCAATTGCCTCTTGTGGCCGTCCAGCAATCCAAGTACTTCCGGGGCAAGACGACCCTTAGAGTAAGCACCAACTACTCCCTACCGGACCAGAAAAACAAAGAAATAAATAAGAGAGAGAAATGGGCACGTCTAACCTATGCAATAGAATATTTTCTTCTGGCTGTCGATGATCTTTGGTCTTGCTTGTGTGAGTACACCATCCGCAACTTCTCTATTACTCAACTAATAAGTGTCTCTTGATAGATGTGTGCACTATACGTTCTCGTTTAGAAAAATACATCTATATCAGACCACAAGAGTACTTGATCTGTACTATATACGGGGCCTTGGCGATATAGATAGATATATAAACTCTGGCCTCAGATTGTATATTGAGCGGGCCCGTCCGTTTTGTATGGCTAGGATAGTGGCCTTCTACTTGTCATTTGTCTTTCATGCCAATGTTTCGTTGTGATTGGACTTAGATTCCTATGATGTTATAGTAGTTTATTTACGCTAGACCGGGCTGTGGCTCATTTTTTCCATTCCTCTACCTTTACCTTTCAGCGTTCATAGATAAGATCCAAGTACAAATGTATACAAAGTCCGAGAAAGCAAGCCAAGTTCATCTATATAAGATGAGACCATTCATAGAAACCAAAAGCCAAAGAGAATAAAGACGACTCGAAAGCCTGCAACGCCAATAGTTTATACCAACCATGCATCCAAAAGTAAGATAAGCAAGATAACGTGAGCCTAAGACATGGGTGTGGGGATGTTGAGATGCTAATAGCATGTCCCGTTCTCTAAATTTAGATATGCTCAATCGGTTCCTCTGGTAGCAGCAGTTCCCTCTCCCTCACTTCATGAGGAAGACATGCCTTGAGCGGTGGGCGTACAATGTCGTTAAAAAGGAAGGTTCCATACACGAGTAATGCGAACCCGGCTACCTGAAGCCATTTGAAGGATTCCCATCCGAGCGCCAACGAGACGAGCCAAATGAAGAGTGTTCGGCAAGTGTCAATTGTGCTACGAGATGTAGCGGAGACAGACCGGGTAACGGAGAGGCCGAAGAAATTGAAGCCACTGTTCAAGGAAAAAAGTTAGTGAATGCTTTTATGTTGTATCGACAGGTCTTAGCAGGGCAAAGGGAACGACCATACCCAATACTGATCATAATCAGGACACTGGAGATAGCGATAGCTCTGTTACTCGATACCTGATGCCATCCTTCCTTGACATCAAAGTATCCATAGCGGCCAGCTTCCGTGCGTCCCACGAACAGATATAAGATGATCGATCCGATGACAGTTACAGAGAAGCCGAAAACGCCTTCCCAGCCAACAACTTGGATAGGATCCATAGCATAGTGTTCCAAGATCCATTCTTCTAGCACGAATTGCGAGGCAGTAAAGATCTGGCTGCGGCGATAAGGAGAACACCGATAATGGCCTGAACTGCTTCAGGGGTCTTCGCAAGAGCGCGGGCTTGCATCGAGATGTGCGCTACAGCTGCCATGGCATCCTCTCGTGTGATATCGTGGTTCTGGCTGTCACCAAAGAGGGCACCTGCAAGGCCAACCAGTGCAACTCCCAGGACGACCACGAAAAGTGCAACCCATTGATAAAAATAAAGTTTCCGGTGGAGAAACAGAACACTGAAGAGCCCAACAAAGAGTACCAGCGCACCACGTGTCATTTGGTAGATGCTTGCTGCGACAAAGAGCAGACCGACGTTCATAAGTGTAGTGCCTGCAATGTCACAGCATGCTGGTGCAGCAAGTAGAAAGATCTTCCGGCCATGTAGCCGTATACGCTCGTCATGCGCGTGCGCAGGCTTTGTAGGGTCATTGGGGAACCCATCCCCCTCAACTGCATTATCCTCGACGCCATCATCGACGCCATCATTATCCGCGACAGGGTGATAGCCACCGACTAAAAGGGGGGATGATTGATTCGAAAAGCGCGGTGAGATGAATGCTTGGTAAATATATGAGAGTAGGACCACGAGCCAGCAACCCATTTCTCCAATGAACATCTGAATCCTATTGTAGAACCAAACCATAAGCCGATGCACGAGTCAGAAGATGATATAAAAACGCCTACGTTTGAATAACAGGCTGCTCAAAGAGATGGCGATCGCTAGGATCCTGAGAATCACAGTTTCGCACACATTGCATATCCTGTTCATGCAATTTAGCAGAAAGCAGACAACAGGCACTGGTAAGGGATCTAACCTGATACTTGTTGAGGATAGTATTGCAGACACCGGTCACGAGCATCATCGTGACCAGGAACGGAATCATTGCTTTGGTCGCCATGATTCCCGAAGGGGCACTACAATGCCCTAAACAGAATATGTCGAACCAAAGGGTCTCTCAGTCGTGGTGGAGAGACAGAAACCTGGCGGGCTGAGAGATAAGGACCCGTGTCTATCCGGGGGAGTCTTGGAAGCAGTAGACCAGATGCTCCTCTAGAAAACTCAGCGCTATAGCACAGAGTGAAGGATATAGTGTAGGAAGGCTTCTATTGACAGCCTATCTCGGAAATGACAATAGGGTTGTTGTTGGAGAAGGACAAAGAGTGAGGAATCCGAGAGGAGATGGAGCGATGGGGCGTCCTTATCAGCAGCTGACCATCCCCCGAGCCTTGGCACATGGACCCAGGGATCCGCCGTATCGTACGCATCCAGTATCGAGCCTTACCGCTGTGTTCCATGGAACAGCCGCAAACCTACAAGTCAACTTCTACTACTCCGGAAGTTTTCACTGGGATGTTCATGTTTTTCCAAACTTTGAAGATGTGGATATTATATTTGCCTTCAATAGATAGCTCCGTCGCCTGGAAAGAGACCAAGGGGGGGGAATGAAGAAGATTTCAAATATAGCAAGGAGAACGATGGCTCTTTCAACAATTCACAGATGACCTTTTGCTCGCTCCTTGAAACGCCACGGCTAAGCCAACTATAGATGAACAGGGAAATCGAAGTGGTCCGAGGGTGTAACAGAGACAAGAGTGACAGACGTAAAAGAAAACAAAATCACAAGCATAAAACAAGTGGCCTCCCACACTGGCCTAGTCTTAATATACATAAGTCATCCATATTTATGTCAAAGAGATAAGCCGCAGCGCCTTTCACCTGCTCAGGGTCATTAAGTTTTAATTGTTTTTTCCATATTTTTTTTCTTCTTTTCGTAAAAAGCCGTTTCACATGGCACAGATGGCGATTCCGCTATCGTCAACATTCATGTTACTCCGATCGAGGGTGTCCCAATCAATATCCTCCCAGGACTCGTTCAAAAGAGGTCCATCTTCGAACCGACCCGGAAGGTTGATCCAGTCCATTGGAATCCAGTTGCCTTCAAGGCCTTCCGCACCTTTACTTGCCAAGTCCCCGACCTTCGGTAAGTCGTTGTCCTTAGGTGTTTGAGTGACAATGGCTGTTTCAACCGAATCCGGTGTATCTTTCGACTGAGTGTTGGCGAACATGTCTGCATTAATGAACTCGTCCATGGGGCCGAAACCAAAGCCACTGTCGTCCCCAAAGTCCATAAATGTGTCCTGGATCGCCTCAAGAGAAACAGCACTTGAAGTCCAAGGGTCTTCAGTGGTAGGCTCCAAGGATGGCATCTGCTCGGTCGCTTTGCCGGCCTCCTTCTTCCCGTCCTTACTACCGGAAGGCTTGGCTGTCGACAAAGGTACTTTGACTGATGGCCCACGAGGGGTCTGGTTGGATGCGGGAGAAGTGGGCTTCGCTCCGAATTGACTGAACACGCGCGCCACCGGGGTAGCGCCCGCGGTGATCGGAGTTGTTCCCGCTTCCTGCTTCATGGGGGGTGAGGGAACGCCGACTTTAGGAGGCACCTGCGGGGTGTCCATTGCACTACCAGCACTTTTCTTCAGAGCTTGCGATTCAGGTGAAGCCTTATCCTCCTCTTTGACCAAGTTACGGAAGCTTTCAAGGGCAAACTGAAGCGGATCTTCAATTGATTCTTCAACCTTATGGGTTTCTTCAACATGCTTGTCCAGCGCGTTCTGGGTTGCAAAGCCCTGGTAATGATGCTGACACTGTGGGACACTGCATTTGAAAGGACCAACCATAGCTGTGGCGGTCATTTTGGCATCTGTTGCAGTCTGTTTGGCTGCCGGTGATTTGGTGCCAGCTGTTCCGGTAATAGGCCCAGCGTGGGACTGCTTCCTCTTCTTTGGCGGAGGGAGTTTTAGCTCCTGGGGGGGCATGCTACCGGGTCCATAAACATGTGGTACTCCCTGAGGAGACGGCGCGCCAAACGGTGCCGGTGGTACGGCGGAAGTTGCCGAGACAGCAGTCTGGCTTGAGGCTCTTCGGGCCCGCTGGATAGCCTCCTCCTGTTGTTGAAGTTGCTGAAGATTGCTTGCGTTCAAGGCGGGCATGTTATTCTGTGTGGACGATTGGATATTAGTTGACCCTTGAGATACACTAGGCCGTTGTCCAGATGGCTGATTTTGATGTTGGCTGACGCGGGTGATCATGGCTTGGAAAAGCTTTTTGACATAGTTAGTGCTCATTGTCAGGTACTCTGGTGAGACAGTAAAATGGTCATTGATCGTCCAGTCAGGTCCAGGTTTAAATTGCCTCATTAATTGTATGCGCTAAATGGCACAGAATCAGCACACTAGTTAATATAATAGAAAAACACGCAATGTGGACATACCATAGCTAATAAGCTTTTCACATTTTTTTCCTGGTTAGGGATCTTGGAAAACCATTGAACCAGTGTATCCATCCTACCCAGCATATCCGTAAAGTCCCGTAGTTGCTGGGACATTTGAGCATTTTGCTCTGGTGTGACAGATACAGGTTCAACAGGTAGGGGTTGCACCAGGATTTCGTTATACATTTGCTTGATCTTGTCCGGTAGGTTGTTCCATTGCTCTTCCGCAGCGGTTCTCGAAATGGGAGCGCGCGTTTGATTCTGGCCTTGTTGCTCCGTATGTGCGCCTCCAATTGTGCACGTTGCTGTGGTGTCATATTAACCAACTGCTCACGAGTGAACGGCATATTAGGTCGTGCTGGCGTGGAACCCGACAATCCTTGAGAAGCCACAGGCTGTGCCGGCTTTTGCGCAGGGGTATTCTGAGCGTCCGTGCTTTCTTCATTTGGTATCTTTCTCTTCGGCGGTTGCTTAGCAGCAGGTCCTTTTACACCTTTTGCAGGTGCTGCATTCTGGGTCTTTGCCGCTTGCATCTGCTGATTCAACTGTGTTGCTGGTTGCTGGTGTTGGGCCTCTGACTTGATCTGAGGCGTAGCCGAAGGCGCAGTGACCGGAGGCTGCTGAGACGACTGGGTCTGTTGGCCTTGTTGAGCTGCAAGTTGAGCGGCTCGGTTCTGGGCAAGCTGCATTAACTGTTTCTGTCGGTTCCTGTAGAGCATCTCCCGAAGCTGCTCATCCGTATAATTCTGCACCTGAGCTCCTAGTCGCTGACGAGCTATTTGGATATCTTGCCCAGTGATCGGGCGCATTGGAGGCATGTTTATTGGTCCTTGTTGTTGGCCACCTTGGAACTGTTGTTGGTTCATGAATTGCTGTGGCTGCCCCTGGAAAGGCATTTGCATCCAAGGGTTTTGGCCACCACTATCAGGATTCCGACCACTTTCTTTGTTCTGTGCCAATATCTGGGCCAAATGGAACTTCTGGAATGTCACTAACTTCTGCAGATCTATGCCTCCGAGAACTTGAGGGTTTGCAGTTGCCCATTGTTTCAGTTGGCCCCAAGTCTTTATATGTTTCGGGACGGGCGAAGGGACGTTGGGGTTGTTGCTAAGTATTGAAGGGGGGAATGGCAAGCGATCCATGTCTTTGATCTGGTCGGGGGACATTTCTAAGCCCCCACTCTGCTGGCGAAGCAGCTGCATCTTATATAAATCGTGTTGACGCTGCTGTTGTTGCTGCTGCCGTTGCTGGGCTGTCATTTGCTGTTGCCCTGGGAGCATCCGATTGGGCGCTTGTGCACCACTCATATTTGCGAGCTGTTGTTGTAAATTCAGGGAGGCACGCATATTTTGATTATTACCCGCCTGACCATTCACCATCTGTTGACCCTGGCCAGGTTGCGACAGGTTCGTCTGCATAGGCATGGACTGCTGGTTAGCGTTTGCTCTTGCCATAGCTTGATTATTTAGTGGACGGCGCTGCTGGTTCATTAAGAACGCGGTTAGCTGCTCTTGGGTCATCCGAGCTAGTTGCTCTTGAACCATTGGCGGAAGGCCAGGAGGAATCTGAGGTCGACCCTGCATGCCCGTTTGTCCTCCGAGAGACTGGACCCCCGCCGGTTGTTGCCCAGGAGCCCGTGACGGAGGCCGAACTTGAGCTGCCACTTGCGCCGGTGACATCTGACCCGGAGCCATGGGACGATTGAGCATCGGCATGGCGGGACTTTGCTGTGTCATCTGCTGTTGCATTTGCGAATTGGCTTGACCGGCTTGGGATATAGCCATTTGCGCGTCCTGAGCAGCCTGCACGCGTTGCTGGGCCTGTGTTTGTGCCTGCGATTGTGGTTGGAATTGAGGTGCCTGTTGCGTTCGATCTTGCGGGAGATTCTGGGACGTCTGTAATTGCTGTTGGGAGAAGAACTGAGGACTAATGCCGGCACCGTTCATATTGGTCTGGTTACCCTGGCCGACTTGAAACATGTTCTGAGGCGTTGTAAACGGCTGTTGGTTCATCTGGGAAGAACTAGCAGGCACCACAAGTTGGCCTGCTTCTTGGGAGCGTAAACCATCCGCCTGTTGTCCCTGTATATTTTCAACGTTGCCGATAAATGATGACGGATCCAAATTCGGTTGACTGCCCATTGAGAATGAATTACGCTGCAGATTCATCATATTTTGGAACATTTGTCGATTCTGGGCGTTCATCATCGGATCCCCCATCATCGCAGGATTAGGGTCAATTCCTACATTCTGCGCACGTTGTTGCGCTTCCTGTCGGGCTCGTTTGTGTCTTCTGAGTTGAGTCAATGCTTGAGAGCGAAAGAAATACGTGATGGGATCCATATTCTTCCGATTAAGGTATTGTCTTTGCTCGGGAGTCATGTTCTGTAGATTCATTTTGATCTTGTCCACATCTTCCTGAGAAGTCTTCGATAAGATTTGGTTGGCGATACGGCAAACATTTTCGTAGTCTTGAGCCGAAAGTGTGCTAAGATCGTCCGTCAGAGGTATACCATTACCAGCCTTGGCTGCGCTCGTTGTTGAAGGATTGCTTGGGATTGCTGCTGCTGTTGTTGTTGCTGCTGCTGCCGATGTTGTATAGCCGCCTGACGACTCGGATCATTCATTCCCATTGCCATTTGCTGTTGTCCAGGCATTGGAGAAGCTTGTGCCGGACGGCCCATTTGTTGAGGAAACGGGGCCTGCCCAACACCGGCCATTCCCGCCGCGTGCCCAGACTGAGCCATCATGCCGCCATTTTGTTGTAATACAGCCGCCTGTCTAGCCCGAGTATCTCGAATATGAACCAGTTTATCGTTGCATTCCTTATCGTAATCGACCTAATATTTCCACCGTTAAGTGCCCGCCACAC